ATTCCTATATTAGAGTATGCATCTGTGGTTTGGAACCCTAGTAACCAAGTCCATTGGGATAAGTTAGAGGCCATTCAAAAACAATTTTTACTTTTTCCAGTTTAAATCTTCCCCCATACACTAACCGTTTCAAACTTATAAATCTCCCGACACTCGCTAGTCGTAGGGAGATGCTTGGTATAATATTTCTTGTAAAACTCATGAATGGGTCAGCCTGTAGCCCATCTCTCTTATCTGATATTAATTTTAACGTTCCCGCACGCTCTATCATGCCCTCCAGACCCCTACTTTTAAAATTTTCTAGAACAAATTTTGGATTAAACGAACCATTCCGCCGTATATGTAATGGTTTCTATTCTCATTCCAGCACATTTGATCTAACAGACTCTCTCTTTACCATTAAAAAAAATGTATCTACTCTTAACAAGTAACATTTAAAAATAATAAACTTTAATCTAAATCTTAATTTTGGCTGTTGAAATTTTTGTTTCGGTACAGCAGCTTAAGATCGCAACGCTTAAAACTCTCTTACCTTTTATGACTCGGCCAATTCCGCTCATTCGCGGATTGCGCCCCTCGCGTCGGTTGGGTGGGGGGACGGTAATCGTTGGGTATTATTATTATTGRTCCCAAATCTTTTTTTTTACAAGCTAGAGCTTTAAGTAACGATTTGAGAGATTGCTTCAAAGTAATAGCAGGACTACGAGAAATACAGATATTACTTTACACAAATTTAATCAAACCACTTTCTGAAGAGTTTTACAATAAAAAATCCGTTTTTAATTTTATTTAAAATTTTACACACAAGAAATCAGTTGATATTTTCCTAATCATACCGAAGCCTCGAGAAAAGTACACTAAACACATAAATCATGTATGTAATTGTATTTAATTTTCATAACCTTAATAATATACTGCATGGTTAGGCCACGAAATTTAAAACCACGCAGCAATTCTGGAGAAATGCCAAAATTGTGCGGCCCAATTTGTGAGACAATCAACAGTCCACGACCATTGTTAGACACACAAATTATGCAAAACCTCGAGTAAGAAGCTCCGTGTTGGCAAGCGAATGTGTGGAGTGACAGAGACTCGAGCAACGATGCAACAGTAAACCGCCAACGGAAACCCGACAAACCGACGAAAGTGAGTGGCAAATCGGCAAGCAGACAACCATCAAAACGAGCCATCAACTCATCAAATTTATACAAATTGCGGAAATTTGAATATTTGTCGAGGGCGCTGACGTTTTACACGGCCTTACATACATACACACATACCTTACCCACAAGCTGGCGGCCACTACTGTCATTGCCTGCCTTTGCCGGGCTCGGTGTTAGGAAGGAGGTGAAAGCGTAGAAACTAGGCAAAGATAAAGCATGTTCGTGCATTGTTTGCTGGCGCCGCCGGTAACTGTTCTTACTGCAATAAAATAATTCAACGACAAATACCAAACCAACAACATAGTACATATTTGCATTACACCTTTCTTTCTTTCCACTAATTCATATTCAAGGCTGTCTGACACAATGCCAGCAGGAACATTAATTTCCACTTTACCGAATTTGAAGTCGATTACCTTCTATCAGCAACGAATTAATAATGGAAGAATATACAGTAAAACTCTCTTTTAGAGAGACATAACTATTCACAGTTTGGTCGTGTGTGTGTCTGCGGTTTTTTGTTGTAATATTCATCGTTGTTTTTGTCATACCTAGCTTTGAAATTGTATGTACATGGTATATTGTATAAAGTAACTATACCGTTACTTTTGTATATACATACAAATGTACATATAGGTATTTATGCTTATGTGTGCACAACGGAGCGTAATTGTATGGCACATTGTAAGCATGCAGCTGCCATGCCGTAAAATGCTAATGGAATTGACTGCCGGCGGTCAGAATTATTTAAGTGATTTCAGTACGGCACTTGCCGTAGCCACCGCTACCCCAGCCGCGTCACAGTTGCTATGTTTCGCCGTCCGTCTATTCATCCGTGACACATTCGCTCAATTCACTATTCTTTTGTTTGGCTTCAGTTATGCAGAATCGCCAGCGGCTAAAGGAGAATAGCTGACTAACTGGCGCTCAGCGTAACTACGTCGTGACGCCCCCCTCCAATTTATTGACTAGCCATATAGGAGGAAGAAAGATTTCCGCCGAATAGGAAAATATGAATTAATTTGGTTTAGCAAAGGAGGATCTGGAGGAGGAAGACGAGGGAAAGAAAAATGTATACACGAAATTTGTTGCGGTTAGTAAACTACTTCGGCGCACTTATCCTCGCACGTGTATGTGATTTCCCGGGCGAAAAGAGCTCAATTAGCGAAACAAAAAATTAAATAAAAATGGAAACAAAAATAGGAAGTAAAGCACTTAGGAAGTATATAATTTTTATTAGATTTAATAGTAGCAATAATATATTAATAAACGGCACCAAGCAGCAGTAGCAATAACAGACTCAATTCGTTCGGGTTGTTATCCCTTAAGAAATAAATAAAAAATTCTTACTTTTATTACAGATTTATGGAAATATATTAAGGGAGTAAGGGTTAGCTCATAGCAAATATTGCCGATAATCCATTTGAGTAGTAAGTTGGGGTATTAGTGCAAGAAATAGTTAGGGAAAAGAGTTAATGAAGCAAATGTTCGTATGTTTTTAGCTAAATATGGTCAATATGTGGCATAAATCTGAATTAGTGCAGGAACCAAAAGTGATGAGTCGCTATTTCGCAAGTCAACGCAAAGTTAAATTTTCTCGCGGCCAACAATATATTTTGCAGCTTGAACATTCGAAAATATTTCTCATGTTGTGCTGTCCAAAAAATGAAATATTTTATATGAAATTTTTATTGTTACAAACATATTCTAATAACAAAGAAATTTTAACATTTTTGGAAAAAAATTTTTCAAACTTGGATTTATTGCAGATATTAAAAAAAAAAAAATGAAACTTTTACTGAAAAATACGCGACATTTTTTCAAATAGTTGCAATAGGAAAAAACCCTCTGTCCAAATTCAACTTGAAAGCTTAGGGCAATATTCACAATATTCTAGAGGTTTTGCAGATTGTTTAATAAGATAAAAATTCGATTTTTTGAAACCCGTTAACCTATTTAACCTTTAATCTGAGAGAAATTGTCACTGTAGGAACAAGTTTCACAAACTGTTTTTAATTTCTATATGAAGTTTCTATAACGAGTTTCCTAAAAATTTTGTCATTCCAGTAGATTAATGGTTACGAAATTATTTTGAAGAAGTTTTCTTGGGAATTTTTATTGTCACGAAGAGAAATATATGAGTGACACAAATCATTCAGTGAAGTCATCGAAAATTCATCTCATGCGTATGTCCCATCCTACTCTGATTGTGACCATACCATCGTAAGAGTTAAAGAAACAGTGCTTGAAGACCGTCGTCTTGATATCACAGAGATAAGATGGCTTAACACCTTTGGTTAATGTTTTGAGTATGAAGGATGTCAATGCGAGATTCACACCTGAAGACTGGAATTCTATGCAAAAAATATTTTGAGTAGAAGCCATAATGATGTGACGTTTGTTTATGAACACTACGTCGAAACTAGCTGAAAATCAGGAGAATAGCGTTTCAAATCCAAAATTTCTGGAGGCGTTGAAGACCGCCTTGGCTTATAACTAGTGTTTGGAAAATTGAAATAAGCGTTCACAAGCTTACAACAACTCAAAAGGAGCCAATTGTGTAGGCAATAATAAATAGGCATTTGCGTTAAAATAACTGAAAATTGTCAATCCGGGTCAAATTTGATCATATGCTACATATATAATAATTCATTTCATGGTTTAAACAACTATTCATTCTGTAGCGCCAAGTCAGAATAAAAAAATTTTATTATAATTTGTGTTAAAATACCGGAAAATTGGCAGTCCGGGTCGAATTTGATCATATGTTATAAAAATAATAATTTGTTTAACATGGTTTAGAGCATAGGTTTCTATTAGCGAAATGCGATGCTAAACTCTCACCTGTGCAGAAACTTAAGCCACACTTTTAGCTATATTCAAACTATAAAATACAAATAAACCTTCATCTTGTGTATTGCTCCTTAAAAGGCGCTTAGATATTAATTCTTCAGTAATAATTACCACAAAATGTTCTATTGAATTAGCACTAGACTGCCATGACCCATGAGTAAACGTAGGAAAATAGAAAGATGCTTACTAAAGTATCCGTAAAAAAAAAAACTAAAGTATCCGTTAGTTCAACCCTACTTTCTTAGAGTTGTACGAAGTTTTCTTATTTAAAAGTACATATGTAATATGTACGCCAATATATGGTATCCCATACACACCATCCTCATTTACATATTACTATGGTAAGTACGTTCGCACACTCGTAAACTCATTCGCCCATGCACAATTCTCCGTTGAGGCGTTCACTTCTGCATTGATTCAAGCATCGATTCAACTGTTCAAGCGTCAATTTCTATGTCAATTCTGACTCAGCAGGTTGTAACGGTTCGTGCTGTCTTGTCTGACGTTACACCGCACATAGCGGTATGCCATTGTGCAAATAAATACTCGCGCTCGCACCATATTTGTGGACATATTTGTCCTCGCAAGTAGCCAGCTCCGTCGCTGCAGTGGCTGGCGCGTTAACTTTAGCATTTATTTAATTTATTTACTACTTTTTGTACTGTTTCGTGTTTCGCTACACTAAGACCGCCCATGCCGCCACGAACCAGTCACCAGCGCTGCAGCCATGACCCACTTTGGCGTATAAGTAATTTCATTTCCCCATATTTTTAGACGACACTAAGCGTGTGGTGCTTAGCTTTAGCTCTAGCTCTCCCTTTATAGTATCACTCGTGGCTACTGTTGTATTGGTATTGAGTGTGTGCGTGTGTGTGTGTAGTTGTTTGTTTATTGATATTTGTATTGGCATTGTGTCTTTGCACTCAATCATTAATTTAATATTATTCTTATTAAAGTGTATTTTTACTTGCTATCATTTTGCAGGCACCATACCCGCCACACCCGAAAACATCACCGTCACCTTCCTCACGCCCACAACGGTGCGCGTCTCCTGGCAAACGATGATCGATTTGAATGCGCATCCAATCGAGAAGTATATCGTGACATACAAGCCGACAGATGACAGGTATGTAAATTAGTCGCTTTGCTAAAGACTGTAGCATTTAACCCCAAGGCACCGGTGAATCCAATTCAATTTCATATGTGAAAAGTGTTGTGACATTTTCATGAATTTTAGAAGAATCATAAAAGTGTCGATTTTTCTGTGAAAAACATGTTTATGAAGGATATGTGTGTATAAGTTTCATACAAATAAGTATCTATTTATAGCGGTAAATTACACAGCACGCGGTTGCAACCGAAATTAGTACAACAACAAATTACTAGCATGTGTTTTTTACATGCATGCATTCTTACGTACTTGATTACCCTTCATCCTTGGCCAGCTGTTTGCACACCTGCTTTTAGCGTCGTTTGTCGTGTAAATTCTACTTCCTCCGCTCCCTACCCATCTATTTTGTTGTAATTTTTTAATGCTCTATCACTTTTTATCGTGCTTTGTTATTGTGTACATATATTTTATTGTAATTGTCATTGTGTATTTTGTTGCTGTTGTTGTTTGTCGTCACTGCATTCATTGTGTATTTTGTTGCTGTTGTTGTTTGTCGTCACTGCATGCAATTTGCCCTTTTCGTTTGTTAGTTTGACATTTACAAGTGGCAATGCGATTGTATATTTTTGTATCAAGCGTGTTCTCAATTGTGTTTGTGTTGATATTGTTGTTGTTGTTGTTGTTCTTGTATAATACTTGTACAAATACAGCGTAAATTTGTGGGCTTTATTGGTTAAGAGCATTTGTTTGGCTTGGCATTGGCGCTCGGTGTCCGCTTATAGGAAAGTTTGGGTGTCGAGTGGCACGAGTGTCACTTTTGTGGCCCGCCAGCCACGAAAATACTTTGGCGCACTTGAATGCATGCATTTTGTTTAAATTGCATTTCACTTCAATAGCCCATTAGCCGCATTTTTATTACGCGAATAGCATGCAAAAGAGAAATATATGCATAGTGCTAACGACGTAAGCGATTTCGTTTCTGATTCGGACGATACTTTACCGCAAGAAGATTTTAGAGATTTAACCCTTGAAATTTATTTATTTTTATTTGCTAAATTGAGAAAATAATTGTTCTCTTCATCTATGTAAATGCCAGATTTCGCCAGATTCTGGTATTTTATTGAATTTATGTCATTAAGATCAAGAAATCGTCAGTAAAATCTTTCATGACTCCCTGGAATTTCTTGCGCAATCACTGAGGATTACAACCATTAATTTAGTCAGGGTGTCCGTTATGGATAGGTGGCTTTATTTTTGAGTCTATTTTGAGTGCAGTTATAGTTGTTGTATACATTAGCTTCACTCAAAGGTTTCAAGTGGAAAAATAACATTTCTTAGACAATGTTTAAAAATAGTTAATATACCCCTTAACGTGATTTTTTTGAAGAGCTATATATACATTAGGAAAAAATGTATCTGGCAGTGAGGACAATTGTTTGCTCAAATTATCTTAAATCCAAAATCAAACACAAGATTAGTACTTTAGCTGAATACAGATAATGATTGAAATACTAATTTTATTTTTGTTCTTGATGGAATGGCAGCGACCCCGGTCGATTTTTGTAAAAAATATGTACATTTCGGAAAAATACTAAATCGAAATGCTTACAAAACAAAAATAAAGCTAAGAAGATCATATAATAACTTCAAGTTGATCAGAAAAGTTTTTTTTTTCATCGTCTCTAAAGACAGCTTTCGGTAAAAGCACGTTTAAAGTTGTGGAAGCCGGCAACACTAAGCTTAAATATTCCTGCAATAGGCGCTGATATCTCCGAAACTATTTGGATTAACTTAAAATTTTAGAAAACTATTCTCAATGCAAATGCAAAACACAAAATCAAAATTTTTTATTCACAATTCAGCTTAGTCTATGATAGCTTAAGGAGTACCCATGTATCCTCGGGTAAAAAAAAGCCGCTTGCAACAATTTTTTTTCATGTAACAAATGAAATATTCTATTAGAGTTTTTTTTATTGCTAAATACAAACATACACTATTAACAAAGAAATTCTGACATTTTTGGTAAAAAGTATTTTAAACTCGGCCATTGTGACGTTATTTCTGGAACCCCTAAGAAAAAGTCCTGAAAGTTTAGGACAATATTCTAGAGGTGTTGTAGAATTTAATGAGATAATAAAATACTCGACTGTTTGAAACCCATAAACCCATGTAACCCCTTAATGATGATTGTATGAATTTCCAGTTCTAAATTCTAATGGTAAAGTCAGCAAAATTTCTGGTTACCTGAAATTGTTCCTATTAGTTTCAGTTACCTTACGCTACCTCAGCACATTGCCACACTTTTTTAATGAAATGCGATCAAAAGTCAGTTTCAGCTGTTAGCGTTGTTTGTATTAGAATCCACGACACGTATGTTACGTATACGCAGCGTCACACCATTTTTTAGAAACCATTCATTTGCCCATTATCACATTTCATTTCACATTATTATTTCTAGTCCAAAAAAATGATATCTATAAAAACGTCCGACATTATTAGAATTAAGTCAGATTTATAATCGACCAACTTAAACCCTCCCATATCTCACCAACATTAAGCTCTGGTAACTATTTTTTACAACTCGAAAACTAACCTTTGTTAACAACATTGCATTCATGGGTTAAAGTGCCAAATACTTTTGAGCAACGACACGATAGCACCAATGCACCTAACGTACAGCAATAACATACAAAAACAACAGACTAGAAAACTTTTAGAATGTTGTTGTAAAAACGTATCAAAGGCGGCATACAAAATGCAGTAATTTGAGTTTCCTATTTGACTTTGGACACTTTGCGTTGCAACTTACGCAAGTTGTTGGCCCAAAGCTGGCAAAGCACGAAAACTAAATAGCAACAAAAATAAACCTAAATAAATAAAACACAAAACTACAATGAGGAGGCACATATATATACTATATGACATATAGCACACCATATAGGACGAAAGTACCGAATGTACAAGGAAGCCACGAGACTTCCACCCAGAGATTACATACGTTAAGAGCCGTTCTACATTTTAAATCGGCTGCTTGTTGGAGCAAGCGTTCAAGACGGTCAGTTGGTTTGTGACCGATTATTTATGCTATTTTTAAAGCAGTTGTACTCACAACGCCACCAATTCACTTGCCTGTGACTCACTTTAGTAATTCAGTAATTCCAACAAGCAGATCACAGTGAAGCCGAAGGCGACGATATGAGTGGTAAAACTTCGTAGTAGACAATGGGGAATTGGAAACTTTTATATTAACTACCAACGAGGGACCCTTGTGGCAGTGTGGAGCGAGTGCGGTGTAGTTGAAGAGGCAGTCAACTGAATTACGAAGGCAGGGCCACAGTGCCATTGAGGCGCTGTGTTAGTTACTTGCAACTGCAACACAATGCCCGTAATTACAGTATAAAAAAGACAATTGCATATAGCAGCAACTATAACAATAATAACAAGGCTATAATCTTTTAAGCACTTGCTAGAGACTCGTTGGAGAGCTGCACAGTCCATTGTTGTGCGCTAACTAAAGGAGAGCGAAACCTCAATGAAAAGTTCAAAAACAACAACAAAAAATTTGACACCCGGCGTCAAACTAAATAGAATTCTGCCACGCCTGGCCATAGGCTGTGCAATGCATAGGCAAACAAGTCAAGGCTCGACGAGTGTCCGCAGAATGCAAATATTTTGAATGTAATTCCTTTAGTGTTGGCCAAAGCATATAACTATTATATATATAAATAAGCCGTTCAAGCAAAACACTATAATGCAAAAATATGAAAATTGTTATAAAATGAGCAGCGTCATCGTGCAGAAACGTTATTTATGCATGAATTCATTATCTGCAACATTATTGCTAACAAAGACGTTCGCACAACATGTTTGCATATAAAGTGAAGGTGGGCACTAAAAAAAAACAATGAAAGTAATAATCTTCATAATCATATTAGTCACTTCGTTTGTCTCTGTAGTGCGTGTGTGCCGGTAAGCAACATATTGCCCAAGGTATATTAGCTTGGTTTATATAACTTACAACGCCCAAATCTAAAGTCATAGATATACGATTATACGAGTATAAGGTAGTCGAAAAAGTCTTTTTCTATTACTAATCAAACTTCAACTTATTTTTTTTATACATTTTGGTCGACCATTTTTAGCCATTTTCCGCTAGAGGCAATACTCCATCAATGTAAAACTTTACTGGTTCTCGGCGAAAAAATGCGACAAGAAATTTTTACAGGTTTCTCTTGAAGGCAACTTTACTCCATTAAAGTACTTTTGCATTGACTGAAACAAATGGTAATCCGATGTCCCAAAGTCAGGTTTTTTCCGAGTCATCATAGATGTGTGTGGTCTAGCGTTGCCTTGTTGATAGACGTAGCTTCTGTTGGTCAGTACTAGTCGTTTTTTCCAATCCCATCAGTTGTTGACTGTAACATGCAGAGCAAGTGCTCATAGTGGATGATTCCTTTCTAATCCCACCAAACACTCAGCAATACCTTTCAATTTGTCAATCCTGACCTTGCGATCATTTGTTAAGCTTCACCACCCTTGGACCATGATCTTTTTCGCATATTATTGTCGTATTTGATCCACTTTTCGTCTTCTGTTACCATTCGCTACAGAAATGGTGCGATTTTATTTCGTTTCAGCAAAGAATCGCAGATGACAATTCGGTCCATTCAATTTTTCACAGACAATTCATCTGGTACCCAAACATCGAGCTTATTTTTGTTGCCAGCCGGTTTAAAACCGTATATAATCTATCTATCGTCACCTGAAATGCAAAATAACGTATCATCAAAAAATTCAAAATTGAGTGTCTTATTGGTTATGATTCACTACTTCAAATTACATACATAATATTACATATATCCGACATTTTCAGGTTCTGCGCTCAGATATAAGCCAGTTTAACCAATATTAAAATTTTATTTCGCTTATGTTCCATTTTATGTCGCGTTTAATTCATGCCATTGTAAATTTCCGAAAATGTTGTTACGTTCTTTTGCATTTCAGGTGACGATATA